TGTAGGGAATCAATCATCCTTTTGGAAGGCAGCCTCCATAATATCCGAGGCCAGGGGTCACCAGAAGCACTACAGTCCAACTGCAGGATGCTGCCGTATGTTACGTCTGTCCTCTGAGGAGAACTCCCAGTGATTTTAGCATTAGATGCATGCTTCTTCACGTGGAGTTGTACTGTTCTCCTGGAAGCTCCCACCATGTTAGCAGCAATGCACTCATAGGTCCCACTGTCCTTAGGGGAAACGTTGCGAATATAGAGAGTTCCATTGGGAAAAACAAATAAATTCCCATTGACAAACTGAGAAGGTCGGATCTGCGTGCCATCGAAGACCACCCAGCGGATGCTGGGAGACGGTGCTGCTTTGGCAGTGCAGTGGATGTTAATACTGCTACCAAGGGGCAAGGAAACGTTCTCTTGCTTCTCCTGCTGGATGATGGGAGGTAAGGCTGCAATGTGCAGCCTCACTGCAATGCTGTCAGCTCCTGCAGCATTGCTTGCCACGCATTTGTAAACTCCTCGGTCTGAAAAAGTTGCTTGCTTGATAGACAAGGTGCGATTTTCATGAAGCATTATCCTGCTTTCTGTGGTGGTGACTGTTTGCAAAATCTTCCTGTCTGGGAAAATCCACGAAATATGCGGGCTTGGAGTCCCACTAGCCTGACATTCCATTGCTATGGTGTCTCCAAAATAGACCGTGATATCTCGGTAGCGGGAAAGTAAAATTTTGGGCTGGTGGGCTGCAACAGTGAGCACAATGATCATTTTATCTATACCATGCACGTTCTGAGCTGTGCACAAATACTGTCCACGATCCTGAAGTTGAACATTTCGGATAAGGAGGGTACCATTTTTCCAGACTTCAAACCTTTGTAACCTGGTGTTGGCTGTCATTAAAGCTCCTGGGAAGTTGAGAGGAAAGAAAGAAATGGAAAGTCAAAAGTTTTACGACATTCATTGTTGCACTGAAAAATCTTATCCAAGATTTTAGATTTACGTAACACCAACTACAACTTCAGATGGATCACATAACATCTTCTGACACTCTCCATAGGTCAAATTAGTCTTTGTTTCTATTGCAGAACTAACCATACCAGCTTACAAGCATGTACAGTGTGGGAACTTTCAGGGCCTTCATGCTTTACGATTACTCTTCAAGCCTCATGTAATTTCTCCTTTCCTTTTGCTTATGGAGATGACATACACATCAATATTTAAGACAGCAATATTAACAAACCATATTCAAAATAATCACAGTTGGTTGCTACTCCCTCTCCAAAAAGCAAACTCATTAATTGGTAGGTTTTCTTTCACTTTAAGAAATACCACAAAGTTATTTTTACCTGTAATGATTAGCTGCAATTAGTCACATTTTATTTATAACAATTAAAAGGTACAGAAACTATTCTTCAATGCTTTGGACTATTCCTGCAATCATGTTGCATTTCTATGCAACAAGCCAAGCATTTGTACCCTTTAAAAATGGTGTAGAAAAGCACTTTTTTCTGTGTCTTACCTGTAGAAACTTTTGTCCAAGTAATAAAAGGCTTGGGTTCCCCTACTGCATCACAAGGGATAAAGGCATCTGTTTCAGTAAGGATGGATATGCTCTGAGACCCCTTTGTGATAATTTTAGGTCTTTCTCCCTGTATCCTGAAATTGGTGGAAGACTGAATTACAGTCAAATTGTTTGGCATAATGCCTCCCACATAAGGCACAGATGGAACTTTTTGATGATGCTGGTGGATATTTTGAAAAGGGTGAACTGTAGTGGCTATCTGTGGTTTTGTGCGCTGAGAGAGAAAGGTTGGGGGGATAATCTTCAAAATCACTGGTGGTGGTGATGTGGTCATTGTGCCATGTGGCATTGGAGGCAATGGAATAACTGTAGCTTTTGGCACTGTAATCCTAGTAGGAGAGACTCGAGCAACTTTCTTGTCGTTTGTGTCTTTTGGGACTGGCTGACTAGGGACTACCGGTTTAGGATGCATACTTAAGTGAGGGAATACTCTTGTTCTGTTGAAAAGGGATGGCATTCTGGAACTGGGGTAATAAGGGATCCCGTGACTTGGTTGTCTCCCTGCTGTGCCTCTGTTATCTGGAATATAGTTATTTCCAAAAAATCTTGAATTAATATTGAATCTGTTCTGACCCTGATTACTAAACTTGCTTACAGTGAATGGACTGGTTTTGTGAAATGGAGAGGCTAATGTTGGGGTTGTTGCTTCCCTCTGAGAGGCAAAAGATTTTTTGTCCTGGATGGTGTGTGCTGCATATGCTGTTATCTCTGGTTTGTTTGTGTAGTGAAGAGGCTGGTGTGTTACAAAATGGCGAAATGAACCTTGTGTAGCAATATATGGAGGCTTTACAGTGCCTCGTACTGGAACATTCTTTGGAGGCACAACAGGCAGTCTTTGGTTTAGGCTTGGTATCACTCCAGCAGGTGGATTGGGAAGGTTTGGATTTAGCAGTAAACTGTTGTTTGACTTGCTACTATACAAATCTTTAAATTGCTCCTCTTTCGACTGAATGCTAATCCTGTTTTGGCTAGAGGAAGGAGTAGGGTGTACATTCTGTCTTGAGCTTGCCACCTTTTTGTCACCATCTGCTTCAACTTGTCTTGTTTCTGGGAAATTTTTTTGACTGAAGACATTCTGTTTCTCAGTGGTATAATAAAGAGAAGGATGTGAAGCGCTTGAAATGGATGGGGGAAGCGTGGTAAGTTTTATAAGTGGAATAAAGGCAGTGGATGTAATTGGAGGTTTTTCAGTTGTCTGTGAAGTGGGATCATGATGAAATACATGTGACATAGCTTCATTTTTATCCAAGGAAGGTGACTTTGTCCCAGTTTGAATAGCAACAGATTTAGATTTCTTTGTTTCTTTAAGTGGAAAAGTTTGAGTTTCTGTTGTGCTGACGGAGGAGGACAAAGTAATCATCTCATACTGATGGAGTGGCTCACTTATTGCTGGTGCTTCTAAAGATACTGTGGGTTTCCATGACTCCTTTGAAACTGAGAGGTGCTTAAAAACTTCCACTGTGCCAACAGGAGCACTTAAGTCAGTCACAGTAGGATGTATCAGCTGGAATGTTCCAGTGGTTGTTTCATTAACCAAAACTTCTGAGTCAAATGGGATAGGCTCTTCTTGAGATTCTGGTTTTATAGATAGCATCAAGCTATTCATATTCTCAGGAGAAGCTGTTGTGCTTGATTGTTCTGCCTTATTATCCATAGTTTTAAAATCTGCTTTAGTGCCCTTCTCCTCAGACATACTGTGTGATGAGTGATATGTTGGCACTTCTCTTTGCTCTGGTTTCAGAAGTGAACTTGACTCCTTTGTGGGAACTGCATCACGTACAACATATGATGATAAAATGGTGCTAGCTGCAGTCACTGGAGGTGCCAAGGTTTCAGGAGCAGTAGAGAGTGGCACATATTTTACTTCAGGTGGAGATGCAGTAGGCCTAAAGAAGGAAGTTGTGACCACCTCCCTGATTTTGGTAATTTTCTCTAAGGCAACCGGATCAGCAACTAATGAAGGAGTGAATTCCATATACTCCTCTTCCTTAGGCTGTATTTTTACATAGGTTTTATGATCATGACTTTCAAGAGGTGCAGAAGGTTTTGTCGCAGCTTCAACATCAGTGGTCCTTGGAATTACAGGCACTGCTTTGGTGGTTGAAACAACACGGTGGAAAGGCTTTGGTCTTTGTCTGATTCTGTTTGGCCTCAGTCTCCTTCTCCCGTAAGGCCTTTTCCTAGCATGCTGAGTAACAAGTGAGGGCATGGTCTTTCTATAGGGAGCTGTTGTTGTGGCCACAGTGGTCAATCTACTGATAGAAAAAGCAGTTTTTATCCCCTCTGCTGTTTTATGAGGTGCACTAGTACTATGCAAAATGAATGTGGGATCTGGTTTTGGAGTAGCCAGGGTTTTATGTTCTCCTCCCTGAAAACTCTCTGCATAACTGCTGGACATGCTTTCTTCAGTCACTGTACTGCTGTAGATCTCAGGTTCTTTCTTGCTCTGAACCCTGATGGGTGTAACAGCTGGAAAACTTGTACTTAAGTCTGCCATTTTTGTTTGGCCTGTGGATACATGTTTGTGCTGGTGTATAAAGTCATTGCTCTTTTCTGCAACAAATGGAGAAACAGATGAAGAAATGGAAGTAGTGCCTACAGAATCTGTTGGGATGATCTCATCCAACTGAGAAGGTGTTAAAACTATGGTGTTGACACTCACTGGGTCCATTTCATTTAACTTCACACCTGTCTCCAAGACTCTGTGAAGATCCACAGTCTGAGATTCAGCTAGGGCAGTAGCATCAAGTGGTAACTCAGCAAAAGCAGAATTTTCCTCTGATGTAGAAGATACAGTTCTATGTACATTTTCCACTGTGAATGAACTGCTCTGAATATTAGGAAAGTCTGTTACAATTTGTCTGGTTAGAGGCTCTTCAGTGAGAGCATGGACATCTTTGACTACAACTGAATCATCCATCCGGACATCAAGATGTTGCTGGCCTTGTGGTTGCACAGTTGAAGAGACAGGAGTCAAATATGGACCTGATACAGCCATTTTTTCAGTGTATATACTTCCAGGCGTTTCTAAAGCACTGTGGTCAGGGAACAGCTCAGTTTCTGATGTTGTTAATATGGACGGGACTGAAAATGCTTTAGTATTGTGGGAAACAGTGACTGACAACGGCTCGTCTTCACCCACAGGTGATGCATCAGCAGAGGAATCCATGGCATCAGGTGTTGTCTCCGAAGGCGGAGGGCTGGCTACCGGATGAGGGACTGGAGTAGTTTTGGGCATGACTGATGGCAGCACAGTTGTTAAAGAAATGGTTGTAGCTGCTGTTGTTCTAGGAAGATTCTTCCCACGGACCTTTGCCAAAATGTCAGCCCAATGCTGTGGATTAATCTGCTTGCTTGCCACATTAATTCTCCTTCGAGATTCAAATGCTCTCCGGCCTTCTGCAACATTGCTGTCTTGGGTTCTATCAGTACTTTTCCAGATTTTCATTTTCCTTCTGCCTTTCTTCCCTTTTTTAATCTGAGCCTCTGACACCTGAGCACTCTTTTGTTTAAAGGATATTTCCCGGTCTTTCAGATGGTTCTTTCTTTGTGGGAACTCCTCCACCCCTCTTGCCCCTGAGCCTTCTTCATCATCTATGACTCGCCCTCTCGTTTTTGACCGACTTTTTGAGCCTGGGCGCTTTCTTAGTTTTATCCTTTTAAATGACCTGTCAGACACCATTTTATTTACTGTCACCCGTACAACAAACTGATCTGAGCCGTGCTGATTGACAGCCACACATCTGTAATGGCCACTATCACTGACATGGCTTTTTGGAATAAGCAAAGTACCATTGTCCAACATGTATCCTTTTGAAGAGTTTGAGAGCTCATTAAGTACCTGGCTGTTGGGAAGAATCCAGCTCAACTGTGGTTCTGGGATGGCAACTGCACTGCACGGCAATGCTATTGGATCTCCAACATTTTTTTCAACTCTCACTACATCTGAATCAACTACCTGAATAGCTGGAGACTGCACCAGAAGTTTGTATGCCATGTTATCCACATCATCTCTCACTTGGGCAATGCAGTGGTACAAACCACTGTCAGTGTAACTCACCGCTTTGATTATGAGCTGGCCACTACTGAGAATAGAAAACCTACTGTCCTTTTGATTAAACGGTGCTTGCAGCTTAGTGCCATCTGGAAAGAGCCACTGAATGGAGGGGCTCTCAGAGGCTTTCACATTGCAGCTCAGCTGACACTCTGACCCTTCCATGACAGTCTGTGCGGTCCTTGTGCTCTGGTTTTGCTCTATCATTACCCAGCTTCTCTGCTGCCCGGTGTCTTTGGTATGAATTGTCTGAGAAAACACAGTGAAAAAAGATAGCACCACTTTCTTCCCTGTACTCTGGCGCCGGTTTAATTGGATATTTATGAGAGGTTGCATCACCCAGGAAGGTTCAGCCACTATTTGAGCTTTCACACCTGTGTAGTAAAGAGCATCATAATCTGAGCCTTGCCTGTACCGATAGCTTATTTTAGGCTCTTTGCTGAGCATAAGTTCCCTCTCTAATTTGACAGGCACTTCACTGTAATAGGCTATAAGCTTCCATAGTTTTTCATAGTTTTCTCGATTCATTGGACATTCAAAGTCCAGTGAAATCGTAGCATTTATATCAATCTCCTGAGTTTGGATTTGATTCCACTGAATTTTGTTAGAGCCTGTTGGTTTTTTGATTTCGCAGTTCAGGTGGACTACATTGCCATGTTCATCAGTCATATTTAGAGTAATATTCCATGGAGATGACTGAAGCTCTTCCAGAGGGAGTTCATAACTGTCACCATCTTCTTCCTCTTGAGTGCTGCTATTCTGCCTCAGTGAGGATTGAATGACAGGTTTCCGACAGGAAATATCTTTCAGGTTTTGAATATCTTCTTTCTGTAGCTGTTTTGGGCTGTTGCACTTAGGACAGAGCTGTCCCCCTTCATAGGCTTTGTCCTTTTTGCATTTTAAAACACCTGCACGAAAAAGAAAAAAAGGGAAAAAAATGAGGAAAAACAAAAGATAGGTAAGTTGAAGAACTCTGTTCTAGAGTTAGAGAACTCTCAAAAGTGTGAAATTGACAGCATAATGAATGCCCCATGGCACATGATACAGAGGGCAAGGGCTTTTAAAATGTCACCTCTTTGCTTTCACAGTTGAATGGGCACCTGATTCTCAAACTGACTGTACTTTCTTCTGACTTTAGTGAGACTACCAAATACTGTATCTTTCTGAAAATCAGATTCATTGCCTCTGAATAAAATGTCTAGAAACTGAACTGTTCAGAGCAACATTTTTTAAGTTAGTAAAAATCTATGCTGTGTCTGTAAAGTGACATCTTACCCATCTAACTTGTGGACCTAATGTGAAGAGGACTGGGTCTTCTCAGCTTTCAAAAATGCAGCACTTACCTGAGAAATTATGGACTTCCTCATGAAATAATACAGGAAGTTTTTTAGTTTTCTCTGTTTATTAACAATAATACTGGCAATCCACAAATATTCTACAGTAGCTACAAAAATCCACTGACTAGTTCCTGCACTTACAACCAATTCAGCAGCAGAAAAAAAAAAAAAAAATAAAAAAAATTAAAGTGCCACTTCTTCCCTGACCTCTGAAATAAATGTAAACTCTGTCATGACAAAATAAGAACTAAAACAGAGAAGGAGTGTTAAAACAGGAAATTACAGCCTTGACTCCTCTTTTCTGTCAATGCCAGAAGGACTCTTGTCCACAAAATAGCAAGCACAGATTTATTACATTGTTCTGCTCACTAGAATGTCAAATGTCACCTTTCATATTTAGTTTGGAAACTTGTTGTAAATATAATGTATTCCAGTTATTCTAGGAATAAGTATCATGCTGATCACTCCTGAGGAATGAGGGAGCTTCGAATAAATGAACAACATATAAGTTTGTTATAAGGCAACATGCTGGGAGAAGGAGAAAAGTGGCAACTTTTATACATTTTTTAAACTGAGAAACATATGCTTTGCCCGTCTGAAAAATCAATTCTCTCAAGAAGTTCTTACAAATGGAATATTTAACTGAAATGATCTATAACTTGCAGATGCATATATGACGTTTCAAAGATAAGCAAAGCACACTTCATGATAGAACTGGCCCAAAATCAATCTGGTAGCGACCACACTGGCCTGAAGAACTTTAATAACTCTGTCTGGACAGAATTCCCAAAGAAGTTCATGTTATAGCTATATAAAGATACAAAATCATTCATACATGAAAATTGCATGGATAAATTCTCTTCTCTTTCCAATAATGACTACTGTTGAGTGTAAGAAGGAAATCTAATTGTCAATCTAATACTTCATTGTTACAACTTACAGTTCAATGTTAAGTATGCTTGATACACATACTCATTTGGATGAAGGAGAGCACACAAGAATATTAAAATATAAATTAGCAAAATACTATTACAACATTAGATCCTCAAGTGTCAGTTCAGGAAGAAGCACTTATATTACCATTCAAGTATCACACACATTTAAAACTCCTGTCCCACAGCTAAGTGCAAAACTGCAATTAATTACTTATTTTAAGATGACAAGGCTCACCATCACCCACCATACAAATAAAACTTGTGGCTCCAGTAGTCATTTGCAATATCTTCAGCTGCAATTAAATAACAACTCCCTCTTAATATTTTAGTGGCAGACCTAGCGCAACACCAGTTGCTCTGGCCCATTGTAACAAACACTTAGCTACCTGACATGGGGCACTGGTGAACTGAGATGCCCAAATCAAACTGACATTCAAAAAAAAGCCTCATTTAGTATATTCCTGATATATAGAGGTATTATAAAACTGTTTTGTTTGGGGTTTTTTTTGCCTCTAGTATTTTGCTTCTGCACATGACCAGAAGTGTTCCTGCCTAAAGAGTGCAATACTTATCTCACATCTAAGCCTGAACAAAGACAGACCAGTTATTCAAGGAAAAAACCACAGGATTGTAGGTGTTCTCTAAAAATACATAAAACAGATTTGCTCCATTATAAATGAAAGTTGTGGTCAATGGAGAAACACAGATAGACACGAAGTATGCGTATTACATAGAAGCCTTCCTGTTAATAGCATTAAAGTTAAAGGACTCACCCAGTTCAAATCCAATATGCCCACCACCCATGAGAGCACATAGTTACTAGCTTTGTTGGTTGAGGGCAGTTGCCAGCCCTTAATAAAAGGTGTATTGCTGTGTAAGGGAACATTTGACCAGATTATAACCTAACTCCTCTTTCCAGTTATGAACTTCACTATCACTTTTTCCATCTTGAATGCAACAGCTAGTTCCTTTGTTCTTGAATACTGATTTTTAGCTAGTGACACAGAACTGCTTCCTCTTTGCACTTTTAAAAATACATGTAATAAAATAGTGCACATAGGCACCATGTAAGTAAAAACACTCAGAGTAACAATCCAGAACAGGAAAAAGAATCTAACATTATGTGTTGAAGAAGCACTGCTATTTTTGCTCTTACCTCCAGAACCTTCAATCCATTCAAGAAGCCACTTTAAACTGCAGTCACAGGCCCATGGATTCCCATGAAGGTAAAGATTTTCCAGCAGTGGCATGCCTTGAAACATCCCTTCAGGCAAGGTCCTAAGAGCATTTTCAGATAGGTAGAGATGTCTTACTGTTGACAGTTTGAAATAATCAAGGACCATAAATGTTGAAAAGGTGTCAGGGTGAAGCTGCTGGAGCAAATTTCCTTCTAAGTGGACCAGTCTCAGAGAAGTTAATCCATTAAAAGCATTTGGATGAATAAACTCAATTCTGTTGTGGTCCATGTGCAGCCTCATTAAGCTTGAAAGTCCTTGGAGAGTCTGGCCAGTCAAGACTTTCACTTTATTGTAACTAATTTTGAAAACCTAAGGAAGAAAAAAAAAAAAAAAAAGGATAAAAGAGATTAATTTTGGTTTTTGATCTAAATCCAAAGAGAATATATCAAGTATGACACAGGCACAGTTAATAGATCTCCAGTGTATTTGGGGGAGAAATAGTACCTTAATCTTCAGAAAGGCACTAAAAAACCCCACTTATTTTTGTTTTATGTTATTCATGGAAGTTAAAATTTACAAAACTTAGGAAAACCTGAGCATTACCTGTAGAGACACAAGATCTTTCAAAGCACCATTAGGTATACTCTGAATGTCATTTCCATGTATCATGAGCAATTCCAGTTTTGTAAGTCCTGCAAAGGAGTTTTCATTTATAGACTGTATACTGTTGAACCTGGGGAAAAAAAAAAAATCACATCTGCAGTTAAATTTTATACACTGACTGTCATGGCCTGCAAATGTCAAATCGGTACAACCTACCTTTCAGGAAAAATTGGAGGGATCTTTAATGCATTGTCAAAGAGCCAGAAGTTACTGAAACATTTTTATAAGCCCAAGTATACTTAGTTCATGTTTACGTTAAGATTTATTTTAACTCAATTTGTGGCACTTGAGCTGTAATTTAGGAGTAAGAGAAATAAATAGGCATTTAAGTTCTAATAGTTGTCAGTGTGTTTTTCCATGCAACTCAGTTTAGGGAATGGTAAGAAATTAATGGCCTGTAGCCAAGCAATGACGCTATGGAGCCTGGCAAACTTGACAGCCTGCAGTGTTGCCAAAACAGCATCTAACAATAAATGAATAAAGATTTGGAGAGAGGACATTAAAAATGGCTATCTTCCAAACAGCACGAGAAGCAGGAAGTCACATCCTGCTTCACTTACTGTTGTAACATGTAATTGCCTATGTCAACTAATTACATAAGATCTAGGAACTGACCTTCCAATTATATAATTTGAACCTAGAAACTCCTTTTAGAGAAGGAATACAGAAAATCTGCTTTTGCAAAATAATTCAATTTCACCGTGGACAAATAAATCGGGTTTTATTTGCCAATATGGAGGTCTTAAGCTTGACAGCCTAGCTCTACACTTGGGGTTTCCATACGTACACATAGAATTAAAAGTATGAGCTAATCTTGGCATTAAGTCTTTAAATAAAGGCATAGAATTTTAAAGATTTTTCCTATCTTACTGCTTTCGAGAAAGGCAGGGACAAGACAGTGTTAAATTAAAATACTCTAAATATGGAGGAGATGCTTTTAGATCCATACCATGTTATCTAAAGATGCTGAATTAGTTAAAAATTTAGATTCCTGATTTGATCTTTTTAGTCCTACCACAGACCTACAAGGCTTACAGCAGTCATCCTAATAAGATCTTTTACTTTACCATCAGCTCTTCTAAAAAACCTGAACTTCTCAAATAAGAAATTTTCCTTAATTATTTCAAGTTAGGAAAATAACCTTTATCTCCTCAAGATACAGCATATTCAAATAGAAATATGGTAAAAGATCTTTTCCAAAATGAAAGGCGACAACTGAGCTATTTCTTCCTGGGAAAGGACACAAGTCACACAACATCATCTGTAGTGATGAAATACAAAGACAGCAAAAAGCTTTCATGCTAGCAGTATCAAATATATTTTTATTAACAAACAGCCAAAACACCTAAACAATTTAGAAACCTACATCCAAGTTGCAAAAGCTATTTAGGGATATAATCTGCCATGCAACGCTGACATATGTGGGACAGGTGACTGTGAATATTTGTGGGTTTGAATGTTGGAAGAGAACAAGACATTTTTTACTAAAAACCAGCATAAAGTACAGACTACTAAATCACAGGTTTACTGAGTATAGGGGCATTCTGAGACCAAAATTAGGCTTTAGGTGGAAAAAGTACTTGTGGATAGACATTTTAACTACAGAGAAGAAAAAAAAAACCCAAGGCTCCTACTGTCAGTCACTGCATGATCAATCACAGCTTACAGGCCTTGGGGCATTTGGGGTTAGTTCACACTTTCAGTACTTCAAGGGGGCTTACAAGAAGGATGGGAAAAATTTTAGCAGGGCCTACTGTGATGGGACAAGGGGTAACGATTTGAAACTAAAAGAGGGTATATTCAGACTAGACACAAGGAAGACATTTTTTTAGAATGAGGTTAGTGACACACTGGAACACGTTGCCCACAGGGGTGGTAGAGGCTCCATTCGGGGAAACATTCAACGACAGGCCAGACAGGACTCTGTGCAACCTGGTGGAGTTGAAGATGTCCCTGCATACTACAGGGGTGTCAGACTAGATGACCTGTAAAGGTCCTTTACAAGCCAAAACATGATATTCTGTGATTCCATTCTATACCAGGTAGTGAGGCAGCTCTGTTAACAAGCAGAGGAGGACTGCAACTCTTGCACCATCCCATGTCCCACGATGATCCTATGCAGCACTCTGTGATATGCAGCCTACCAACTGTCCCTGCCTTCTTGTCTCACATTTTGACAGGTAGATGTGAGTTGGCATACGAAAGTATGCTGAAGCCTGAGCAATCTTCCCAAAATGCTGATGTCTGCTTATATTGCACCTAAGCTCCATGAAAAAACAAACAACAAACTGCAAAGGCAATTGAGTAACTTTGATTTAATTGCAGTGCTTTAAGATCTGCTACATCTCATTGTTCTCCAAAATGCTACCTAGCTACATTATCATTGAACAGTGTAACAGCTTGCATTGGAAGGGACCTTAAAGATCACCTAGTTCTAACCCCCCTGCCATGGGCAGGGACACCTCCCACTAGACCAGATTGCTCAGAGCTCTACACAGCTTGACCCTGAACACTTCCAGGGTGGGGACCACCACAACTTCTCTGGGCAACATGTTCCAGTGTCTCATTAAAGACTTTCACTCCTAGTGCATTTTTTTTACATCAGGTATGATATTAAATAGTTAGTAGAAACCCCCTAGTAGATGTAATTCGAAGCATTTCTTACACACTAAGAAGTGTATAAAAAAGACTATGTGTCCTACTTGCCACTGACACCAAGGTGCAAGTGTCTATTTGAAAAGAATAATAACTATTCTTTGATACATGAGGGCTATGCTAAAACTTCCTCCGTGCCAGTAGCTGTAGTGCTTGGAATCCATCACCTGCAAGTCGCTGCCCACCCCTGCAATTCTACTTCAAAAGCACACAGAGCTCAGACCCCGCCACGCCGCCCGCCCGCCCGCCAAGAACTCCAGCCTTCCCCCCAAGAAGGACGTCAAGCCGTTTGCCAC